TGATTTGACATTTACTCCAGCAAGACGAAGGTGGCATTAATAGGTAAAAGTGGCTATTAATGAGACACTTGGCTTGCCATATTAGTCAAGCGCCCTCTAGCAGCTGAAAATGGTAGTGTTCAATATTTTCCATGTTAGAATGAATTAAATCGTCTGATCTCAGCCAAAAATTTAATTATAAATATGGGGGAAAAAAAACGTATGTTAGTCACTTCGGCGTATACGTCGCAGGACTTGCAAATTTATACAAAAAGGTGTGACTTATACGGTGAAAAATACGGTGCTTTTCTTTATGTCAACTGGATCCACTGGAAGCTATGATAGACTGAACCCTGTCCTGAGTTGGTACTTGTGTCTGAAACCTGAGAAGAAGTTTCTAAAAAGGCTTTTAAGTATTTTACTGCTCCTGATCCAACTCCTGCATGGACTTCAAGTTAGATCATCAGTAAACAATTCAGTGGGTGTTACTTTAAGATATATGACCAAATAAAAGCCAAATAATGTAGATACTTATAGTTTAAAAATTATAATGCAAGTAACTTTATTATTATTAGCTTATTATTAATAATAATATTATTATAACAAGATGTCATAACTTACAGTTTGCATAGGTCAAGTTCTGTATTAGACTGCAGTAGAATATAATTTGGATAAAAATAATGGAACAAAAAATACAAACCAGAAGGAAAATTATTTACAAAAACTTACATGATTAATGTCAAAAGGTAAATGGGACTAAAGGCCAACACAAAAAATGTATCCTAATCAAAAATGTGAGTTGTCAAGAGAATTTTGTAATGATATTTGCTTTTATTCTTTATTCTTTTTTCTTTTTTTTCCAAAATAAAAGCATCTGGATGATTGCCCTATTACCCAAAGCTGTTCAGCCTGTTTTACCTTGTAACTATGGGTTTTATGTCTTTAAGTGGCATTTCATAAAGTTAACCCCTTACAATCTGTCACAGACAACAAATACACCTGTCATCACATATTGTCCACATTTTCTGTCTAAGCTTTACATTGAAAATCCACTTCCTGTCACACTCAGAGTGATGAACTCTTGAGAATTAAAATGTCTTTTTCTGCCTGGAGCACAAATATGAAGACAGCTGCCATCTGTTTCGTTTTCTGCCGTTTCCCATCTTCTACAGGTGGTTATCAACTACTCCATAGTGAAGGGCCTGAAGTACAACCAGGCCACGCCCACCTTCCACCAGTGGAGGGACGCCAGGCAGGTCTATGGCCTCAACTTTGCCAGTAAGGAGGAGGCCACCACCTTCTCCAACGCCATGCTGTTTGCTCTCAGCGTCCTCAGCGCTCAGGACGGAGGTACGGCGTTTCCTCCGAGCCCACACACTCACTAAGGAACACAAGCAACGTCTTTAATTTGATGCGAAGAAGAATTTTAAATGTCGCTGCAGAGAACGTCATGAAAACCTTATCGTGTTTATGCAGTAAGTCATGAAGCAACGCTGGCAACGTTTTCACAATCAGGACTCTATGAACGAACATACCCTGATGAATCTGTTGATAAATCACTAAAATATGAATTATAGATGTTTGGATTTGATTAGAACAAAGTAATCGACACAAACTTAAACATGCTTTCAGCTTTACATAATGTCTCAATTTACAAAACACTCCGTATATTCAGTAAATAGTTCAGTCAGGAATCACTTGGAGTGAGTTTATCTTCTCCAAAGATTTCGTAAAGATGCTAAAATGTGTGCATAAATCTGTTGTTGAGATGCTTTTATCTTTCTGGTGTAACAATGTAGTTTGCGAACCCTTAAAGCACTTTGCTAAACATTTTGCGGAGATATTTGGAGCCCAGTAAGTGCCCAGCGAGAATAAAAACGATCTATATTTACAGATATTTTGTTACGAAACAAACAACAGTTCGTTGTTCAGCTTGAGTAAAGATGAAAAATTGCACAAATTCAATTTGCAGACAGTCTCTAAGCCCCACATTTAACTTCTGGGGTTTACTTGTTTCTCCATCCGCACTGCAAACAAGTAAACATAACATAGACTATAACGTTCCTGCAGATTCATGTGCACAGATTCACGTTACTTTTTAGCACCCTCTGTTTTTTACCCTCCACGACCCTCTCTTTCTGTAGAAAATCACAAAAACACGTCATATTTGCAGAATGTTGTTGTTAAAGCTGTTTGATGAGCCAAATAAGCATTTCTACCTCAGCGCACAATAAATATCTCTTATAATATCCAATCTAAGGTGCTTGGAGGAAGCTAGGAGGCTTTCTCCTGCTCCGAAATAAAAGTAACTTCCTGCTCATAGCTTCATGACACGGCATCCGCAACAAATGAACCGTAGATGCTGACCCAGACATTAGCAGGGAGCTCTTAACGTGTAATATTAGCTGATGTCTTCACTCAGCCTAACTTCAGGGGTGGTCTGGACACCTTTAATCCACTGTAGTTTGATAGTCTGAGTGCAGTCCATCCTGAGTTATCTTCTATAGCAGTTTTTTTTTAAGTGGGGGCTGCGGCCCCCTGGGGGATTGCCAGGGAGCGCTCGGGGGGTCCTGAAAGCTCAAGAGAAGTAGACTTAAAAAAGCAAAAATAAAAAATGGTAATAATAATAATAATAATACAAACTGCTCACTAGGGCGATCTGTATCTGTCATTTCCAGATAAACACGCTTGAGAGAGAGAGAGGTTAGATTTCTTTTTTGTTGTTCTTCTGATCAACAGTTTGTTGAAAAGTTCAATCCCCAGACATTGAACGTCTCGTGGTGCCTCTGAGCAGCACACCCTATCCCTAAGTGCTCCCCGGGGGCTCTCAATAGCTGCCCACCGCTCCACCTGGGGCTGGATGGGTTGAATGCAGAGAGACAATTTCACCATTGTATGATGATGACAACACATAACTTATTATTATTATTATTATTATTATTATTATTTCAGTGGGAGTCTAATATTTTTATGCTCAGCAGCTGTAATAGTTAATTGAATATAGTGAATAAATTCAAAACATTCTAAAAGTTGATGTTTCTTTACATATTTTGTAGCATATTTTGTGGGTTTGCGAGGGGAGGGGCCTCGGCCAGAAGCTAATGCTGTTTTTTATTTTTTTTTATTTTTTTGGGGGGGGGGGGGGGGGGGGCATGGAAAAGTTTGGGAACCCCTGCTCTATAGGACTTCCTGCTGAACTGACATGACCCCACACAAACAGCAGAGAAACCTGGACGTGTCAGGGTTAAAGAAGACACGTCAGCTTAAACACTCATTCTTCATATTCTAAAGATTTTTTTTGTTTGTTTGCTTTATTTATTTTTATTTTTGCTAAAAGTGATAATGAGCTGATTATCAAAATGAACATCTTAATTTAAAAAAAAAAGCCAGTTTAGTTGTATTAATCACTGTGGACATGCTGGGTTTTTCTTTGGTTTGTCTGTTCTGGTTGTTATAGAGCTGTTTGTTATAGAGCTGGTTGTTATAGTGCTGGTTGTTATAGAGCTGGTT